ATATTTAGTTTATATTATTATTATTTGAAATATAAATATTAGCACATTTGTAAAAAAAGAGTGTAATATAACTTTAATGCTTTAAGCGAAATAAATATTACGAACATGTAAGATTCAGAGATGAATATTTCTGATCCACAGTTTGTGAATATAATATGTACAATTGTACGAACCAAATATCGATTTATCATCTGCAAATCAATCTTGAAAAGTGGACTTTGCTATGTAATTTACATCCATTTTGAATATAATCAACGCGATGCTACAAATGCTTTGAAGCATTTTTTAATTGGCCAGTTTGTAAAATTCTTTCTTCTAATTGGTCCATCAAATGCTTCAAAGCATTTGTCGCAAGACTTTCGTCACAGCCCCTTTGTCAAGGGGCAATAATGCGCGGCAGAATTTTGCGATTACAGATCTGGGCCGTCTATTTCTGATATCAGAGAGAAACCTGAGAGAGGCCATATCGGTTTTTTCCTGTTACCATCGAAATCCCGTATACTACCGCCAATACATCCATTTTCAAATTGAGAACTATACTATCGACTACACTACACTATCGATGAAATCGTATCGTCGAAAGTAGATGTAGTTCCTCTGTACTAAATCCTTAAGATAGAAGCGTACCGACTATCTATAAGAGAGGGATAGTTTAATCAGTTTAATGGATCCTTGAACGAAGCAATTTTTATTTCACATCTCTTACATATGTATAAATAAAAGTTGTTGAATTTTAATAAACGAAATTGAAAATTCAAACAAATGAATTTTGTCTTATAATATCTTATAAAATTACGAAGTTATGTTTCTTTATGCAAGCCTATTTTTACCAAACATAATTATTAGAACGTATTAAAGTCTTTATAATTATAATTAGCAATTATAGAGACTATTAATAAATTCAATCTTTTCTAAACATATATTATTAATTTAAGATATAATTTAGCAAAAAACGAGCTATAAAGACCCTCCATCACCTCCCAATTTTATCAGCGATCCTCTTTTCTTTGCAAATATACTCACCCATAAACAAAGGAACTACTAATAAATTTAGTAGCCCGTTTTTGCAAGTAAGTATATCTTTATTTTTTTATTTTTATGTCTAATTATTATTTTATTGTATTTCGCTAAATGAAATTGCAATAAATTTTTAAATATTATTCTTGATTGCATGTATTATCCTTTATACAATTCGACAGTACTATTATAATAATTATTTACAATACAATATACAATTATCAATGCTATTCAAAATATAATATAATAATTATTTACAACACAATATACAATTATCAATGCTATTCAAAGTATAATAAAAGTGATAATATTCTTGACGTTTACAGAAAACATCGAAGAATTTATCGTTATTTATATAACTGCCTGCTAAAGGCGCAATATTTCATGCAAATAATTCATGGAAAAGAGAGAAGGAGAGAAAGGTGCGGAAAGGATTACACACCGACGAGATTTTTTTTTTCTCTGAAGTCTGTTGTTTTTTCTCTGAAGATTCGATTTGAAGCAAATCGAAACGTTCTAAGAAGTTTGTATTGGAAGTCATTATTTTTAATATATTATGTGAATTTTTAAGATTGTTATATATTATAAATTGCGCACCAATTCCCGCGCTGTGTAACGCTCTCATTGTCCATAAATTATTTGATATACTACTTTATATATTATTTTAAACAAGTTGTATCTATTTTTTACAAATTCCTACAATTTTATATTTTAAATAAGTTTCTGAAACTTATTTTATATTTTTTATTTAAATAATTCGTATGTTATTTTATCGAGCCGTGATACGTAATATCGGCATGATACGTAAGTTTAAAGAATTTCTGAAACACAAAATAATTGCAGTAATAGTTGTGTCTTAAATTAATTTATTATTTGAAAAATTAAATAATGATTAACAAGATATTTAATATTTTTAGCCAAAGTTGTATTTAACGCAAATTATTTCACGATATCGAGAAAATTTGCATGTATCTTTATATAAAGATCATATAAAATATTCTATCAACTTTTATTTAAGTATGAATTATTAAAAAGAATAATAAAAATTGAGACATAATGTTGAAATATCAAAAATATCCCAAGCGAATAATTATTAATTACATTGAAAAGAACTATGCAAGTAATATAGGATTGAACAAGTGCCAGAGATGCCAAGAGCAAAATACGAAATGTATGACGATACCCCTTCGTCAAAACATAAAATACAAATTATTGAATAAACCGTGAATATTAATTGCACAAAAGTTGCAGCAACATTACATGTTAATAATTTTGTGCTGTAGGGGATTAATTATAAGTGGAACTTCATAGCGATACGAATCTTAAAAATATAAAATTTATGCTAACAATTAATTTCATGCATTTATTAATGCGAGTCATAATTTCTCAGAAAGAAGCGAACAATAAAATTAATAATATTTAAAACATTAATTGTATTTAGAACATAAAAGCAATCGACAAAAAATCAGATCTCTACATACAATACTCACAATACTCACGCAACGCGAAAAAAACAAATTTCAAAAAAGAATTCCTTTTTCCTTTCCCAGTGCCATTATGTGTTTATTATAATGAGCACACTGCTCTTGCTGATACCATAGCATATATTACATTCGGCAGAGAAGACGACAAAGTTCTATTAACAATAGACAACTCTAAATTCAGAAATTGAAACAACTTAAGAATGAAACAAATATCTGGAAACAAAATTATTATTTTCAAATTAAATACATTATTATTTAATATATTTAATTTTTCAAAATTCTCCAATAAAATTAGAACATACTTAAAATTTTATTTTAGTATAATTTTTCTTTAATATTGGAGAAAAAGTGATTCTGTGATATTTTGTTAGTTTAAAATATATTATATATGCAACATCTTTGTTAAAAACGAACAAAATTTAAATTTAAAAAATGATTTTAAAGCTTGCTCTTTACTTTTGATAACTCTATTTTTTGAATTTAGGTGAGTTTTGTAATTTTTATATATAGAAAATTACGAGTTGCAAAAAGGAAATTTTTTTCTTCTCACTTTATGGGTCTGCCAATGAAAATTTTCGACTATCTATATCGTGAAAGTTTGGAGTTTTTCTTACAAAATCGCTTTTTAAAAATGTTTCTATGAGTTTTTGTTCTTGAGTTGTTCGCGATTTAAATAAAAAACAGCCTTCTGACTTTGATTGCTCATAACTCCATTAAAAATCATTGTACTGCAATTAAAAAAACAGATTCTTAAAGCTCTATAAACGTTGCTCTATTGAATGGCATAATTGCCAGTTTAAAAAAATAGAATATATAAATTTGAATTAAAAATATGGTATTACGGTCCTTATAACCATTACATAATGGTTATAATAATAGTAATATCACATTTTTGTAACTCAAATTTCTAAATATATATTTTATATTTACAAAATTAGCCTGATATTATTTGATAGAACAAAGTTTCAGCTTTAAGAATCTGTTTTATTAATTACTAATTACGTACGATGATTTTTAACGGAGTTATGAGCAACAATCAACATCACAATGCTCTTTTAATCCGTATAACTTGATAACAAAAAGTCGTAGGAACATTTTTTAAAACTTTTAAAAAAACTTTAAGCTTTCACGTCAGATAATCGAAAATTTCGCAACAAATATATTCTGTATATAATTTGAGCTAACAAAGTTCCACAGAACTTTTTCTCCAACTCAATATTATTTGATATAATATTGCAATAAGTTTTCGCATTTGTACAAGTAATTACATTTTCTAATAAGCTTTTCATACTGATAAAGCTATTATCTTATATGGCATACAAGTACATATGGCAACACTTTTCATGACTGGTGTTCAATAAATTGATTTAATTTATGTGGATTGGAATAACTGTAAATTATAATGAAATACTTAAATGAAAAAAAATCGCCCTTAAATAATCAATAATGAATCCTGCTATTATATGTATATGGCAGGAGATTCGTATTATTTAAATCTACTCACAAAAAAGGAAACACTCAGTAAAAATAAAAAAAAAATGTATAACTTATTAGACAGAAATTAT